TTAATTATTATATCAACATTATTTCTAGACAATTTCAAGCAAATACATTTCACACTATGTGAAAGGCGTGCGAGGTCTGTTCAACCTACCATTCAGACTGCTCAAAATAATGAGCAACCATACTGTTTACTAAAACCCAGATTTTATTATTTTTGAAAACAAAGTGAAAATTCGTTTCAAATTTGCTGACACTGAAATATATTCATTTTGTTAAGTATTTACAAATAAATAATTATTTAAAGAAACTTTACATCCAGAAAAAAAAATGTAAGCAACAAAAATATCCAATCATTTCACTACAGCTTTTCTTTATTTCATTCAAGCTTGGTTACCACAAAAATTTGTTGATACATACGTATGTCTTAAAATACATAAACACCCTGCAATGGTCACAACTCTTTCAAGATATTTAACGTAACTAGAAACAATATAATTACCATTAATAATTTGAAATGCACACTGTTTTGAGAAAGAAAATATCTTTAATAATTTACTTACCAAGTTTGATGGTAATATTTCTTTCTAATTCATTCTTAAATCTTACAGTTTGAACACCAGATATAGCCTTGACAACAGTTGATTTTCCATGAGCTACATGACCAATAGTACCTGAAAAATTAATTTTTAGTATTAGTTACCTCACACTTTTAATAAATACAGAGAAGTGTAGGTGTGGGAGTGTACACGTACGCAAACAATGGTGTAGTTACTTTTACATAAATCTATATAAAAGAATCTACAAGCTGAAAAAGTCTCATTCAATTTCTCTCAAACGTTAAGTAAAAATTATACATGCACATCATGGATATTTCACATGGTTGTATAAACTTAATATTCAAGCATTATGATCAATCTCTTCCCCATGAGGTGAATGTAAGTACATCTATAGTATCTATCTCTTTTCTACTCAGCACCTAAATATTCTATGATAATTTACTTGCTTAAGTAATGTTTCTGTGTATAGTGTGTTCAGACACAAAAGTGATTATTTTGATACCAGGATATCCCAAAATAAGTTGGGACCCTCGTCAGGGAGTAACCAGAAAGCTGGAGTATCTCTTATGATAGTGTACAGAAAGTAAAAGCCTTCAGCTGGCATTGGAAAAGTGTCCATAAAGGGTTCAAATTACTTGCAATTAATGTATCTGTGGCTTATCCATCAGGAGGTATAGACAATGAGTATGTGTTTTCTCAATTTAAAATTCACAATCAAATAACCATGATAATTTTAATTTTGACAATACCAAGAAACAAGACTGCCTTTGTATACATAATGCCTAATGAATCCATTAGCCTGTTAATATTCACATAAATGCAATGTCAATGTTTTTTTCAATAATTGTGGGGTTGTAAAATTAAATTTCAATATATATTATAAATTTATTAGCAAATTTGCACATTCAACATGACCACAGTATAGTACCAGATATGTTTTAATGAGAAGATAAATGGATTTCCTCTCAATTGATGTCTGGGTTTCTTCCACAATATGTATAAGAATAACTTAATAGTCCGCTGCATTTTTAAAGTTTGAAAATGATTGTCAGATCATTCAATTGCCTATATAATTCATGTAAACATACTAGGAAAGGATATGGAACTCAAGTTTCCCAGCACTCAAAATTTAGATATTTTTGCTAAATCATTTCCAATTTATTGTTTAAGAACATTAAAGATACCTTACAGGAGATAGCCTCACTAATCTTACATATAAAAGAATTTGTTCATACGTAACACACTGCTGTACCGTTCATCTGATTGCGATAAAACTGTCAACTTATTGCTTGCACTTCCAGAAAGAATATAGAATAGTAGGTTGGGAATGCCTGCACACAGTCATGCATTGATTTTATGCTGACTCAAGATCTGTGAAAGGGCACCCTACATATATATTACAACCTCTTCATTGCATTTTCTGCCCCTGCGATTGTGAAATTTCTCCCCAAGGACACAGATACAGGGAGAGAAAGAGGAATACAGACACAGAAAGAAACAAAGAAAGTGACAGGGAGAGAGACAGAAAGACCTAAATAGAGACATGAAACCACATGCGAGAATGTCTTTCGTGTATTGAAAGGTTTGCAGAGCGTAGCAAATCATGTGATCAGCAGCAAGTAAAGTGCAATACATTGCAATAGCGAAGTATTACCAGGTCCACTAGTATAAAATAAAAGTTCAAATTTTCTAGTTAAATTATTCCAAGGTCTTTAAATTGATTTGCTGTTTCCAGTTGGTGTCCATCAACATTAGAGTTTATTACAAAAGTGTTCAAGCACAAGAATCACTTACATTAATCAACATTAATAATTAGTTCCATATTCATCCTACCAAATCCAGTTCGCTAATGTATTAATTGGCTGTTGAAGTATTTTCACTCTTCTATACTTTTAATTTCTTTATACGTCTTCAACGCATGTGCATATACGGTAAAACCTGCCTCAAGACAGAAACTGATAGTTCCTTTAAAAAAATGGGCATCTCGCCATGATACTGGGTTATAATTCCATATAAAAAATTACATACTTTCAGGATTTTTTGTTGAAGGTTTTTTATTAATGTGGTTAGAACGCGACCTGTGCAGTATTTAACATGCCCTTTTAATGGTATTAATGAAAAGATGGGAAGTTCTTTTACGCTCTGGTAGTGTTTGTATCCATTTCACCATCACTTGCATGTGACACTTTGCATGTAATGTAATTAATTTTGTGGTAGTAAAAATGAAAGTAATCGAAAGAAACATTAATCAAGTGTCACTTTCTAATTTAAAAATAATGACATCAGAAACAATGAATAAAATAACAATAAAAGCCTGGAAAAAATCTGTCACTCATACCAATAAAATAGCAAAAGAATACTAGGAAAGGGATGCTTAGCTTGAAACTGCTGTTCATGACCTAGTAATAAGTGTCAGTCTGGAAAGTGACAGTGATCATTTAGTAAAATGGATACTTCCTCAGACACCAGCCAGGAAACTCTTAGGGCATGAGAGATATCAGTGTTTCGTAAGCAGATCATGAAATATAACTTCAGACAAATTACGCAAGATTTGCACTCGCTATTTTATTTATTTCTGTGTGTGTGTGTGTGTGTGTGTGTATAAAAATATATATATATATATATATACATACATACACATATAAGAGAGAGAGAGAGAGAGAGAGAGAGAGAGGAAGAGAGATTTTATATTACATTTTCGTTGAATTTAAACATTTTGTATTCTTCTTCATTCATCTCTTTTAAAGAAGAATTCATCTGTTTTTTAGAACTAAAATTTTAATCCATCCTACACCTCACATTCCCATTTTGAGTGTGACCACTGAAAGGTTAATAATATTTCAGGAAATAAAAATTGAGCAAAAATAATTCTGTACTAATCTTTTTAACACATTCGATCCTGAGGGTTACATTCAACGGTTAACTACCGCATCCTACACAATGTAACTATTATTCAAAACTTCGTTAAAAAATAACTTTCATACACATCAATTTGAAAGTGATAACACCTTTTAGTATTGCCTTCTTCTTAAAAATTTACATGTATTTTATTGTTATTGATTATAAGATAGAGGCTGACTGGAATTCAAAAAAACATTGCATTTCAATTTTTGTCTGAAGTCTAGTATACGGTACAACTTAAGAAGTCTTTTAAACCGGCAGTATGCGCTGCTCTGGTGAGGGGGAAATCTATGGTGGAGAGGTCGAAGGGTGTTATAAGGGGAACTTTCAGAGGGGAGGGGTGGTGAGCAATACGTGTAACTAAGTATACACATATAAAAAGCAAAGGGTGGGCAATTTATATAATTGTAAAAAAATGCACTTCTGAAATAATTTTAATGGTTTGTAACTGGTCACGGACGTGATGTCAAAAGTTAAGAGTGGGGAAAATTTCACCCAAATATTTTTTCGAAACTTCATTACGAAGTGGTGTGTGGTGGAACATAAATAGTCTATGAGATTTGGTGTTGGGTAGCTATCTAAGTGTTGATGTATGTTGCTGTCATACAGTTAAGTTTCTCGCATTCTTCAGATTCTTTACAATTCGTGTTTTGATCAAAAGTGTTAAGGAATAATATTTATAACCTCAAAATTTTCTCAGATAATGATTCCACAAATTCCCTGAGTTTTCGAGAGCAATTAAAATTCCCTGATTTACCAGTTTTCCAGAAAGTGACTGCCCTTTTCAACTGGCAATCATATAATCGGTTTACCTAATGAAGATATCCATTTATTCCATTATTACTGAAAACGTGTAAATTTCTTTCTTCAATTTCACAATTAAAAAAATTTTAATTCAATCATAACGTTTTGACCAATAATCATCATTACTTTACTGCCAATATTTATATGTGAATCAATTCATCATAACCAAAAAACGAAATTTACTTACCAATATTAATAGTAGCCTGACGACTAATTACTTCTGGAGATAATGCCGTCAGTTTAGTGACATCCTGTAGACAAATAAGTTGACAGCAGTGTTTACTGGGAATGCAATCAACGTTTAATCATTCAAATTCAGTACATCACATGCTCCCGTAAGATTTAATTTCAATTGCAGCCGCTTAACTTTAGAACGATTTTTTTCTGAATTTCAATGAATGTAGTAAATCAGAAATCTCCGTACTTAAATCTTGGGACTTGCGTAAATTAAAGCTGCGAGAATGAAGTCACTAGAACATATGCCGAAACACTGGCACTTTTTTTTTATTTTAAAGTACGGTCACCTGATACATGTATGAATGCATCACACATGCAACCACACGTTTTGAGGTCGAAAACTAAAGTTAATGTAGAAATACTCACTAGCTTCGATAAATCTTGTTTATAGAGATTGGGCTGACCCGTGGTCACACCACTACCTTCAGCAGCCATGTTTGACGAAAATCCTCCCGCCCAGCTCCCACTCTCAACGGTTTTACGGGATATACATCCACGGTCCCTTTGATACTCACAACGGATGTTTGAATTTAATCACGATGTAAGTACCTTATATCAAAAAAAATTTATGACTGCGTTACTGACATGTCCCCTACAAGGAGGAATGAAATTCCCTTTTGCCGAGAAGCTACTCCTAATGTCGGTAAATTGTGAAAATCCCTTCAAATTCTCATCCATAATCTATTGCTTGATCTCTTTGTAAGAAATCGTTAAATGCAACACATTAAACATTAGACAGCTGCTGAACATGAGCTGTATTAACGCATGTAATTGCGCAGACTCTCTTTTACAATTTGTTACGATCTGATAAAGGGCCGTGTCAACCTAGATTAGTATGTGTTCATAGTCGACACTTACTTTTCAGGAACACAGTGTTTGCTTAAGTATTCACTTATTCTTATAAGTGAGCCCATAACGTCAAAGATGTTTATGGGCTTTTTGGAATTATTGAAATCAATATAGAAGATTGTATACCAAAACGAAATGCGGTGGTAAACATTAGTGCCTCTGTTGCTCACTCACAACGTGCGCTTGAGGAATAGAGGATAACCTTTACCACCAGTCCTAAAAATTCTACTGGCACATAGATTTTATGCAATTTAATTTCAGTTATGTAATTTATTGAGTTCAATTACAGATCACCGCGGCGTATTTTTAGGTTATCTTACAATGATGATCACAAGGCATAGTGTTGGTTTTTTGCAGATAATACGCGATCTCTATAAATCAAGTCAGTCCTCAGTTTATAGAATCATTACAGAAATATCTGAAGTGGTATAAAGAAATATTTAAAAAATCATAAAATATCCTTCATGCGTTATATAAATATCTTAGGTCAATAATTATACTTACTAATCACGCAAAATTAGAAAAATTCTACCAACAGAAATTATCCGCACAGGACTCGAAGCAACAAAACGAAATTTACAATTTCATTTCTGTTTAAAGTTTGTCGATGAAACCAGACGCTATTCACAGGTTCAAAAGAACCGCCACAATTGTAAACAAAATTACCACTGCCCTCTAGATTCGTATCTAGTAATCAATGAAGTAATCTTGCCAAATATTATGTAGCGAAATATTGCCCGAGTGCGACTTTCGAATAAGTGGGGTCTATGAATACGAAACTATCATAATGATCCACTTATTTTAAGCAAATACTTATTACTTAAGCGTTTACTTATCGTACACGTGTCGACTACGAATACGGGTAATATTGTTTGAAAAATCGTAATAATTGGTTTCAAATGTATGAACAATTCATATTTCATCAGTGGCAAAACGAACTTCTCCAGTCTACCTAAAATACCGCGAGGACCTACAATGTCAATAGGGAGGTTGGCACAAACTCCGCAATTTACCAACATATAAGGGAGTTTGTGCCACCCCCTTATATGTTGGTAAATTGCGGAGTTTGTGCCACCCCGAACGTTAAAGCACTGTCGTTCTTCTGCGCATAAGCAGTTTAAGTCTCGCACCGCTTACTTAGGGCGAATGCGCGATCGATAGTGCTGACACTATAGCGTAGATAAACTCCCTATTGAATCTGTTCAATTATTTTATATTTGAATTTAATCATCAGTGTTGGCATGGTGGAATACGGAGATGAGTTCTTCCGGCCCATTTTTGTTCGTTCTGCGCACCACCAGTTTGCGTCATGAACCATGTAACCACAGTGGGTCATATGAATAAAAATGAGCACTTGCTCAAGAGTACTTGCTGCGGAGCAAAGTGAGTCTACTCCGCGGCACTGAGCAGGAGCTCCATTTCGTATGAATAAAAACTTCGTATGTCTCCGAAGAACTTACTCATGTCTCGCGAGCATTTGCTCGTCGTGAACAAGTGATAGTGCAGGCTAAGAGTTTTAAAAATTGGTTTCTTGAGAAACAAAGAGGTTGCATAAGTTACGCGCGTCGCGCACATTTGTGCGGAATAAAGAGCAATGTTTTGTTGTCTCGTTCTTTAAATTCGAATATGAATAGCAGTAACGAAATCAGGCGCCAGAGGCCCAGCTAATTTTTGCCGAAATGCTAAGTGAATACAAAATTATTTTTGAAAAGAGCCAGCTTTCGGAGGTACGCTGTGGCCGAAATGAAACATTACAAAATTTCAAAAAACAGTACCCCGAAAAATCCCAAGTAGAAAAAAGCCATCGCCAATTAACACAGAAGATATGCAATATGAAAACGCGCCTGAAAGCAAACGCCGATAAAAATCGTACCAACCATACATTGCCCTTTTCGAATCGGCAAAGAATCTAATAGTCTACATCACGAGAATTTCGCCTTATCTTTATTTTATTTTTATTTTTTTTAGTCCGCTGCATGTGCATATCAACACACGGTAAAAAAATCGGCCAATTTAATCTTACCTTTCAAACGTGAGTCTGCCACTAAGGTCCCTCCGAAATTTTGGAGCAAGTGCTCACTCTAGAGAGTAAACGCTTAACTTTATTCATACCAATTCTGAGCATTTGCTCGCTAGTTGAGAGTAAAGCTCAGAGTTGGAGCAAGTGCTCAGAGACTGAGCAATTGCTTACCCACTTTATTCATACGAAACTGAGTAGGATCTCGGAAACTCGGAGCAAAGAGTACTTGCTTACTTTTATTCATACCACACACTGTGTGGGAACTTCGTTTGAAAAGCTAGACCAGACGCTGGCCGCCTTGTTGAATGAGAGCGAGTAGCATTTTAAAAGTGATACAAAATGACAATTTTCAACGGTAACCAAACAAAAATAACACGATGAAGATGTACAAGATACAACATTGAAAAGAAATGCTTCGTAAATATATTTCAATTTCTTGTAACCAGGTGATAATTTTGGTATATGGCTGTCTTTAAAATTCCCGATAATATTGTGACGCAAACTGGTTACGGAATCTTATTGGCTGAAGACACATACGATGAGCAAGTCACACTCCCCCGAGTGTAGGTCTTCAAGGGAAGCCATACAAACGGGTTTTTATTTCTTAGCGTGCGAGGGTCAGTCTTCACGATAGAATATCTCACGCATTTCGCGTCTTTTTCGGTCGTGTTGAGTTATGAGACAGCGGCGTCCGCGTTTCTCGGTGCGTCAGTGGATGCGTCCGTGGCGCGCTCAGGCGCGTCAGGACAATAGAGCTGTATGCCTCCGCAGCCCCATCAGCCCCATTCTTACGCCCTCGCAGGTAGCAAAAAACGCACATTTCCAGACCTCTTTACAGCAACGTTATATTGAATAAAATGTTGAAATACGCGTCGTAACCTGACTCCTGCGACCGTCCCCATTACAATACGCTGCAGGTCTTCGGCTTTTGCGGTAAAGAAGGGGGCAGTGTTTAATAACTAATTTATTAGGTAACTTTAATGGAAGAAGTCGGTGCTTTGGCCGGCAACCTTAAATTTACATGCATACGAGGGTTGCATTTTATATTTCAAGATTAGAGAACAAAAACAAATATTAATCATCGAAAATCACTTTATTGTTTTTCAAAATACACCCCATAAAGATCTATACACTTTTGCATGCGTTTGGATCAATTGTCGAAGCACTTTGGCCACTCTGATTGAGGTATCTCCAAAACATGCAATCTGAATGCAGCAACCGCTTCTTCAGGTGTCGAAAAACGTTGACCTCTCAGTTTGTTTTTTACGTACGGGAATAAAAAGAAGTCATTCGGTGCCAAGTCAGGACTAGACGGCGGATGACTCATCAAATCGATGTTTTGGGTGCTCAAAAATGCAGTAGTTTGAACCGATGTGTGAGAGGTCGCATTGTCGTGGTGAAGAGTGATCAGCGACAGCTGGCAAACAAATCGTTGTGTACCACTCAGAAATGACTGTTCTGCGTTGTTCTAGTGGTACGATTGCGACATGTTCAGTTTTTCCGAAAAAACAGGCGACCATCTGTTTGGAAGTGCTTCGTGCGCGAACAACTTTTGTTGGATTTTGCTCATCTTGAAACACCCATACAGTCGACTGCTGTTTACTTTCGGGCTCATACGCGTAAATCCACGATTCATCACCTGTCACGATGTCATAGACGTGTTTCGAAGCACCGTGATCGTATTTTTTGAGCATTTCTTTCGACCAATAAACACGAGCCTTTTTTAGAGCGATCGACAAATTGTGTGGGATCCAACGCGAACAAATTTGTTTGACAGTCATATGTTCATGCAATATTGAATGTATGCTGGTCCCACTAATGCCAAAGGTTGTATCAATCTCACGACAGGTCACATGACGATCTTGCAATATCAGTTCACGCACAGCATCAATGGTTTTCGGAACAACTGATTTCGGACGACCTTCGCGAAATACGTCTTGGAGTGAACTACGACCACGATTGAATTCACCACGCCATCGATAAACACTGGTCCTTGATGGAGATTCATCGCCAAACATTGAATTAAGTTCATCCATGCACTGTTGCTGAGTTAATTAATACGTCAAAAGTTGTAAAAAACAATCGTACGAAAATGTTCACAATTTAATTCCATTTTTGGGCCAAGATGAATCTTTCAAGTCACTGTAAACAACACAGCTCTCGTATGTCAAAACGTTCCGAGTACGTATAACCTCAAAACATCCAACTTTACGATAGAGCTATCAGTAGCCAGATTGCAACACCAGGGTTGCCAAATCCCGAAACATAAAAGGCAACCTTCGTACTTTAATGTATTTTCTGTTAAAGTTTTCTGTCTGCAGTCTTCTTGTCTCTGTTTCTGATTGCTCCCGTGTTTCGAGCGGCGAGAGCCTCCGTCGAGGAATTTGCGTTGCGGGTCCAGCCGTAGTGGAGGACAGGGATGGTTTGCAAGCTGCTGTGTTCTCGCCGCCTTGTGTTATGAGGCATAGAGACTGGGCGGTGGATGTGTTGGTGACCGGGACTCCTGTCTAGCGCAGTGAGTAGTTGGGGGCGGGGATGCCGACGCTTCCTCTTTGAGGTGGGGGATATGGAGGCGTTTCCGTCTGGGGCGGCGGCGGCGGTGGTGGTGGGCGCTTCAGCGACGTCCACCGTCGCCAGACGGCAGCGGCGACGGTAGCGGTTCTGGTGCTTCCGCCGTAGCTTTTGTTGCCCAGGTTCCCGTTCACCTCCTCACTCAGGCGGGCCGGTAGGGTACGGCCGGCGCGGGTCAAAGC